TGATCCAGAATATTACATCAATACTCTAACAAAAAGAAAATTAGTTTTGCATAATGAAAAAGGAAAAACTAAAAGAGACTGACGTTCATCTTCCGATGGTGAGTTGATCTTCTCTTGATGAGTCGTTCCTCTCTCTGACTATCAGTTCTCCTCCTCCTCTTTTTCTTTTCTTCTAATTATTCCTCTTTTATTTTCATACTTTTTTTTTTAATTCCTAAGAGTTGTCTTTTCCTCTTCTTTTCATTTGGCCCAAGCCCACAACTTGTTTGTGGAATTTTCTAACTTCAACTCTTCCATCTTGATATTTGCTCTCTTTAAACAATGATTTAAGCACCTAAAACACTTATTTACAAAGAAAAACAAGAAAACCAAAAGTGTAATATAAAACAAAAATAATACATGATAAAATCATTCAAACAATGCAATAATATATGCAAATGGCCTAAACTAAAGTATGAATGCAAAGATAATTTATACACACATCAAATGTCATTGCATGAATCCATTCACTATACAGGGCAACATGAAAATGAAAGACTTGGTGAACATTACAGCACGCCAACAAGGCCATAATGTCATTATTGCAGCAGTTTTTTGTGGACGTTGATGTGTCTGCAGGTGACGCTAGTGCCATGACCTCATCATAAATGGCACTTTTAAGGTATTGGAATCCAGACCACATGCTACAATAACAACAAAGCATGCCACTCTTCTTTTGTTACCAATTAAACATCGCTGTTATATTTCTGTACAAGACCAGTCCTGTACGTGAATCCGAACCACACAATCAAGAAAACACATGCAAACAATAATGATTTAGAAAATGGCTATGCACCTTTGTGGTTAGAATTTACTCAGTTTAGCACCATGTACTGAGGTGAGAGAGTCCAAGTTGGGATAAGCAAATTAATAATTGTGAAAATTCTGGTCTATATATTATTGGTTGGTCCTTTGGCCTAGAATACATGATATATAGTGATAGTGAAGATTGAAGCTGTAGTTATGGTTATGGCATTGAAAAGGTTTGCCACGCAGGAGAGATGACGCTGTCACTTGCATCCATCCTAGCTACCTTCCTTGAGCAGGACTTGCTGGTGCTAGCATCATATCTCCTGCATGGTAAACCTTTGCATATGCAAAATCAAGAAAAAATGACTAAGAGAAGCAATATGGAAAACAAGGTGAGTACTCTTCTTGGCTTTGGTTGTGAAAAAGATATTACTAACACACTCTTTTGAATATTTACTAATTGACAACACTACATGGTACTAATTCTTCTGCAGGCATCTCATATTCATGCAGGAAATAATATAATTGTAGTATGTGCTACCTTTGGGATTGTATGTATGCAATTATACTTAGCCCTTCATGATTCTGGTTTGAGAAAGTACCTAAACTGATTTAAACTCTACCTTTTGCTCTCATGGCTTCCTTTATTTTTCACTGTCCTGTCTAGTACTCTAAAAAGCTCAAGAATGAATCTATTTTAGTTTTCTCATGGAAACAGTTTTAAGATTTTGAATTGATCAGGCTAACGGGTTCTTCTGATGGGGGTGATGCTAAACATGGTATGATAATTCTTAAGTTGGAAGGGTCCTGATGTCTCTGTGGTAATGCTAAGATCTCAAGCCCATGAATCAGAGTTTGCATCCACAATCCTCCTAGTGGAAATAAGCTCCAATTAACTTGGAAATAGTGGAAAACTGATACCATATTATCGGAGATAACTTGTAAAACTGAAATACATCTATACTATTGAATGACAATTCTGTATCTGAATTACAAGATAGATGGTCTTTATAAAGCAATAGATAAAGGCCAGAAACAAACTAAACAGAAAAACTAACCAACAGTGGTTTGTTGCTCTAATATAGATTTTGGAATTGCACAAAAGCGATAAACGAAGATAAACCAAAAAGGTTTAAGTTTGACTTGTTTTAATCTTATGTTGCATTCGATTTTTCTTGTACGAGACAACTTGACACATTATTGTGTCAAAATCAAAATACAAATCATCTGATATGAGTGAGATTTCCTAATAGCTTCTCATCTAAAGCATGATGATCAACTTCCAACTAATTGATAATTTTCACATCAAGAAGAATGAACTATTATTAGAAAGTGACTGACCAAAAGAATAGTTGCTAAATGTCTAAAACTAATTTCTTTAGCTTCTTGATATTTGGTGCATGAAGTGTTTGTTTCAAATAATGTGCGGATGATGATATGATAATGCTTGGTATTTAAACCACAGACATCAAAATCTTGGAAATACAATCCTCCAAAGATAACCATTCCAAACAGTATCTTAACGCCTATGAGACCGTCTTCAATGGCAGTAAGTTGACAGTGACTTGTGAGCTAATGCATGAAAGCAGTTTGAAAAGTCTAACCTGAAAAGGATAAATATTTGACCTTTTGAATAAAGACAACAACTAGGACAAGTGTTCTCAAAAGCACAAAAAGTTTGGAGTTGATAGATGAGTATGCCCAGAGGCACGAGAATAAATATAATACAAAGTAAAGTCCTAGGATACGTACATGTAGATAGATGAGTAATGTTGTATGACAATTATATTTTTGAAGCAAACTCGGCGCACCAAATAGGGTATCATCTTCAAGGATTTGTTAATGAAGCTTCTATATTATACATTTATCACTATTTGAATTCAAATTTTAAAATAAGGTAGTTTGATTAAGTGCGTGTTTGATTTTGAGTTACAAACGTAAGTTTTTTTTCTCTCTCCACGTTTAAGCTTGAATTTACGTGAAAGTTTAAATTTTTTACTTCATGTAAACGTGAATTTTCACGTCGAGAATCCGAAGCAAACACACGCTAAATTTATTAGAAGTTAACTCAGTTAAACAAAGTTGCAGAAAGTTACCGAAGATGGTCAAGCAATTTATGCAAATATTTGGATGTAGGCCAGTCATGACATCATGTGTTCTTATTACCTAATTTATCTATTTCAATTTGACCTATACCAAAACAATGGCAGCACATGTCATTGTTTAGAACATTCTCATTACTGTTCAAAACCATCTATATAAACTTGGTAGTGTTTTGATTTCAGTTTGAAATGGTTATCAATGCAAGAAGTCCCCTCTCATATTCTTATCTCTTTTGCGCGAGAATGTGTGCCAACAACAAAACAAACATCGTGTAGCTTAGCGTAAAATTATTTGTGGGATATTTGAAGATAAAATCTGCTACAGGTTAGATTTGAAAACCAAATGGGTATCATATATAACAAGTTACTTGTCCTAATGGGTATCTAAAATTTTAAATGTCTTTAATTATATATAAAATAAGTTATCCTAAATTCCTAATTATTTTTTAATATAAATATATGTTTCAAAATTGTTCATTTGAATATAAATATAAGTTTTAATTTTTTTTTAACTTTTTAACTTTCTTTTAAAATTTTGTAGTTAGAAATGTCTATAGATACACATGTTAATAGAAAATATTCATAAATATATAAATATCTACTTATCATATATATCCAAATGAGATAGTTCATAAGTATGTATTATTAGGTGTATCATGTCTGAAATATTATCAACTTTAATGCTTGTTAGACTGTTATGATTTTATCTTTAAATAGGTGATTTGATGAGTTAAGAAAAAAATAATATTTATAAACGATAATTGATCTTGTTTTTTAAATAATATGAAACTTTTTGACATGTCAATAATATACACGAATATTACCTTTGTTTCTATTTATAAAATATAATTTAGTACAATTATTTGTTTCTTTATAAAATATCTAATTCATATTATCTCATATTAATTATTCTTATACTAAAATACCCTTAATTAATGTGTGTTATCTTAATTTGGTAAAATACATTGACCAATTTTTTATTTAAAAAAAAGTACTTTGATTGATTATGAGAAATATGAGTATTAATTAAGAGATAAATAATAAAAATATACATTCTAATTAGTTAAAAAATATATAAATATTAATTAAAAAAATAATATAAAGATAGTTTTAAAAAAATTATAAATAAGATAAATTTATTATTATTAACTAAATTAACTACTTTTCTTAATTTTAGTGAATCAAGTAATTAAATCTTATGTAAAAGAAAAATATAACGATAATTTCTATAAAAAAATATAAATAAGATAAATCTATTATTATTAACTAAATTAATTAATCTTGATGAATCAAGTAATCGAATTTTATATATAAGAAAAAAGGTATGTGTCATAAGACGGGGGAGTTGAATTATTGTGTTTAAAGCACGCGTTTTCTAAAAGTAATCTTTATGTATTTATTTTTACTAGAGAGAGAAATTTCAGGTTCGCGCTTGTGGTACAGCAGTTGTACGGGAAAATCTTGAATTATTAATTTATTAGACTAAGGCCATGGAATGAATACTATATGAAGGGATTTTGAAAGCTCAAATACACAACTATTCGGCCAACAGTAGGTATAAGAACTTGCAGAAACCATACTAATTATCGAAAGTTCAACCTATTAAGTAATTAGCTTGTCATCAACATAGTCAGTCAGGAATTCCTTATCCTTCCTCAGCTAACAGTGACACTACACTTTCTATGATTTTCGCTTGCTGTCCACATATAGATGCATGTCTACATATTTTCCAACATCAAGGACCTCAAAAATTTTCGGCATCCTTTTTGTTTTTTGCTTAAACTAGTATTGGTAAATCCAAAATAGCACCCAGATTGTCTTTGCTCCATCCTAAAGAATTTTTCCTCTGCTCGCAAAAGAAGGTTATTGAACATTCAAGTCGACCAAATGGAGGATACATTCCTTGTTCTAAAAGGAGATGATAACAACCTACTTTTAAAGTTTCTAGTGCAAAATCCATTGAAATATTCTATACCAGCGATACAACTGCATGCACTGTCTACCAACACATCTTTTCAACAAGATTTGTTGGCACATAAGAAGGCCATTCAAGGATATTAGGAAGGTATAATCCCATTTAAAAATGAGCACTCAAAAGACCAAATGATATATAAACAAATCCTAAAGTATGATTTCGATTAAAGATCATTGATCATTGTATTGAAACTATTAAGAATTTAAGATTGACAACCCACTATCAATTTTATAGAGTATAAGTAAACCTAAGAAAGAAAATTGTGGAGTATAAAAGAAATTGTGGTAGTGTACGAGATTAGTTCTTAATCCACAACTGCTAGGTCAAACAAACAAATGCTGATCAGAACAGAGAAGAATGATGTCTCAGTCTGAACCCAAAGGTGATTACTAATCTGGGACGTGCACCACCTGTAGTAAAGAGCTAGTCGCAAACCAGATAATGACTGCACCTGAAGAAACTATAACTAATCAATGGGCACACCATATAAAAGTAACTTCATCATATGGAAAATTAAAGGGAGAATTATAATTTAGAATATGGAGGCAAATATGTTTCAAATTTAAAAATATTACCAAAAGAATGGAGAAATAGTTTTTATGTTGACTAAATTAACCATTCTTCCAGTTAATTCATCCTAAACCGATAATTAGTCACTAAAATATCCTATATTGCAGTTCTCCCAAAAATAAGTATCAGAGGTTAAACACAGAGAAAGATGGCTACCAAACACATTGATTTGGCTTCGTCATCCAAGATTTTAAGTCCCCCCTTGGGCACTACTATTACAAGACTCCATAATAGAGAGAAACCAAGTATAATGGCGTAGGGGGTGGGTGTCTGGCAGCGTACCTCAAAAGTTGTTATAATTCTTTATCACTTTCAAGTGCTTTTGCTGCTGCCTTTTCAGATTCTCCCAAAACAAAGGTTTTCATTGATTCAACATCCCTTGAACCTGACCAATTGCACCACAAGCAAAAAATAAGATTAGATTTATGATCTACCACTTATCGCCCTATCCTTGGTTGAGATAAGAGGATTCCTTATATTTCAAGTGTCCTCTAAATAAATCATATAAAACTCAAAAGAATAAGTAATTCAATAGTCTATAATAAAAAAACCATTATTTGCTTATTAAAGAAAATATTTCTTCCTTCAGGGATGATTAAATAAATCACAAAAAGATTAAATCTACTGCTATCAGGTAGTTCACACAGTGAAGATGCCTGTCCCTTCAAGTACCCATGAGGGCGTGACTTGAGTAACTTCTAAATGTAATGGGAAAATTTTACTAAAAGGCTTTGAATAACTGAACTTAGTTGTGGGAAATACACACTTTATGAGGATACATGATACCCATGTTATTACCATAGAGGCATAAACCATAATCTCTTGTAACTAACAAACTCTTTTGACAATCATCATTGTTTAACACAAGTGAAAGGTGGCAGTGCATCCTTGCACCATCATTCATCAGCAGAATGTTTGCATGGGGGTTAGGTTAGAGGTTAGAGCCATCGTGATGAGCTAACTTTTTATTTAACTTTCCACAATCATGATGTGCATATAAAGATCATATAGATGCAATGATTGAGTTTATCCCTTGTTTGGTTTTTCCAAACTTGACAAGATCCCCAAAAGAGCTCTAATATTTTTATTCCAATCCAAGGCAAGTTAAACACCAGAAATCAAGGGATATAAACAAACATGAAACATCAACAAATCATAATTGGTTGTGGATGGTCATTAAAAGTGAAAGATTAAGCTTGCACATGTGAATTAAGTTGAAACATACAGGGAATTGAGCAGAATTCATATTTTGGCAAACAAAAAGAAAATTGAAATTACCTTGGTATCTGGCTACTTCTTCACCATCATAGAAAACCTTAAAGGTGGGATATGAATGAATATCAACTTTGGTACAGACTGCTTTGTCCAAGCCGCAATCGACTTCTCCAACCTCTATTTCATCTTCTCCCTCCATTGCCTTCCCCAAATCATCCCACAACGAACCCAGGTTCTTACTGGCAACCATTATCATTATCTCACAAGTCAGAAAACAACAAGAAGAATAACAGTATGTTCAGCATCAAATGTAGACAAAAAGAAGTAACCACCAATGCTTGCACCAGGGGACGCAGAATTTCACAAACCATGCAGTGTCCTTCTCCTTGATCTAAACACACACAAATGAAAAGTAATTGAGAAAGGAAATCATATGTATACACATAAGTTTATTTCTCTATGAGATTTTTTTTTTTTTGTCGCATACCAACCCCTAACTAAACAACTTGTACATCATCCGCATCTTGGGTAGAATATCATTCTGATTTTAAAAAGATTAAAAACAGAAAATAAAAAATAAAAACCCTCGAGAGGGGGAAATCCGATACCGCCTAATTTGGAATTGGATAAAAAACTACAGAAGTGGGGTTTACAAATTGGGGCAGAAAAAGCGGTTATTGAATTGATTGAGCGAAGTAGTAACCTAATTGACGAAACATAAGAATAGAAGCGATGGGTGTACCTTATCAGTAAATGTATCAGAGGTTAACGTTATCACCTCAGATTGGGTGCGAGGAAATAAGGAGAGAAAAATGAGAGAGGTTATTGTGATAGTTAGAAGAGAAAGAGTGGGAGTTCTTCTCATGCTCGTGCTCGTGCTCATGGCTGATCTACGACTACGCTACCCTTTCTTCTCTGCCGCTACAAAATGTTGTGTGCAGATCTTTCAGGCACGTGCTATGCGCGTGAGGATTTATGTATCTTCCACTATTATTTCTATATTACCCTCTATTTAATCACTTTCTCTCTTCACTCTCAACTTTGTACTCTCAAAGATCATCGAAGAGTTTCAATACATTCTTTTATGTAAACTTATTAAAATTAAAAAAAATTAATTTAATTATAAAATGAGTAATCTAAATTATAAAATTTCAATAATGTTATAAAACATTAAAAAAAAGAATTAATAAATAATAAAAATAAAAAATTATTAAAATTACAATATTAAAATTCAAAAATTTAAGACAAAAGACAAAAATATACTTAAAAAATTATTTAAATTAAAATATAAAAATTTAAAAATTTTAAGTGAAAAGACAAAAAATATACTTAAAAATTATTAAAATTAAACTATTTAAATATATAATAATATTATTATAAATAAAATTAGAATATATAAAATAAAAATAAAATGACTAAATAATTTAAAAATTTAAAGAATAAAATATCATAAATATTGTTTAACAAAATTATTAAAAATATAAAATATAAAATAAAATTATAATTATAACTGTACCGGTACCGGTACCTCCCAAATAATATGGGTACCATATAATTTCTCTAATTTTTAATCAATAAGAAAGTGAGTTAACAATGCGGAGTAATAATTTTTAGGTAAAATTAAGAAGAAAAAAAAGTTTATAATTATTTTTTTTGGTTGAAATATATTTTTAGTTTGTGTAATTTTACTTATCTTATTTTTTAGTTTTATAATTTAAAATAGATATTTTAATTTATATATATATATTTTTTATAATTTAAGATAAATTTTTTTAATCTTTATATTTGTAATTTGTAATTTTTAATTTTAATTTTTTTTTGTATTGCTATCTAATTCGTATTGACTATTGACGTAATGTGAGATATATTAATTTAATTTTTTATGTATAATGTTAGATTTATTTATTGAAGTTAATTTAAATTAAATTTCTCAATACTTCGTATTTCTTTTGAATCTTTTGATATTTAGTGTTATTTTTATATTCTAATATATGACACTTATCATTGAGGCATTATGATGAAGATTAAAAAAACTTAGCTTAAATTCTAGAGACTAAAAAGAATTAAAAAGGTAAATATCGAAAGTAAAAAAAATCTTATTTTTAATTATAAAAACTAAAAATAAAAGTAAGTAAAATTATATAAATTAAAAAAATTATTTTAATCTTTTTTTTTAAACAATGATGAACATATAATCAATGGAGACATGTAAACTTTTTAAAAATTAAAGAATCAAAGTGCCAAAAATTTAAATGAAAGGTCAAACTTCTATTTTCACCTTTTATTTTTGTTTAATAGGAATTCATTTCCTTCCTTTAATCTAAATTCTTTTCTCTCTTTTTTGTTCTATATTTTTTTATTATAAACCCTCACCCACGTTATATTTGGCGAGCTCCGACAAAGCTACTACCACTAGCTACTTTGTTCAATTCAACACTCATTTTCTAGCAATTTCTAGGTTTGATTTGGCAGAAAATGAGTGTTGTGTATAAAACTGGCGTAGAAGATTTTATCAAAGATGAATAAATATAACTTGTGTGTGAGATTTATGATAACAAAATGGGAAATAAAACGAGAGAACGATAGCTAACTTGGAGGAAGGAATTGAATTCCTATCGGATCAAATGAACAAAAAAAAGAAACTCAAATTTATTGCATGTGACCCATGTATCCATAAAAAATAAGTTCATGATTTTCTATTGTAATTTATAGAAAGTAGAAGGAAACTAAGGTTAGAATTTGAAATGAAGGAGGAAACTAAGGTTTGAAAATGAAGTCACAATCAAAGAGAAAGAGCATTACCTCATGAACGAGCAAAATATGTATATCTATAAAGAACACCTAATGGAACTAGGGTTTGAAAGATGAATACACTAATATTCAGAAAAATAAAAATAAGCAGGTGTATAAAGAAAAAAGAAAAAGAGAGAGAGACCGAAGCTATACATCAGGGATACATTCAATTGCAAATATATTCCTTGAAATCATGCAGCTAGAAATTTGGCTTGACGGGTTCAATTTTTTTAACACTCATATATAAATATTTTAACATCTTGAATAATTTATTATTATTTATATATATATATTTTTATTTTTCTTTATGTACCAACCTCGGTCAAATAGCGAACGAGTTCAAACCAACTTGGTCTGCCAACTCGGCCCGTCTAAGCTTGAATCATAATATCAAGTAGTTAATTTAACGGTAATAATGACGGTTACACAGAGAAGGAAAACGGACAATAGCAGGTAAAAATATATACATTTCATTGGATAATCCCAGATAACTAACTTGATCGTCGGAGTCTTTTTTGTAGGTACATCCGAGACGCTTAGAGAAGGGCGACCAATCTTGAAGACCAACCTCAAAGACCAATCTTGAAGACCAACCTCAAAGACCAATCTCTCATAATTTCTTGTGAGACCAAGATAGAGAAGATGATCAATCTAACTTGAAGGACCGACCTGATTCTGGTAAGAACACTTTCTATCACATTATATATTAATCTTACATATATTTATCTATTTTTTTCTAAGTGTAAACTAATATTATAGTTTTTATCTATCAATTTATACTATTTTATTTTATAAATTTGAGGGAGACCAAAAAATTATTTTTAAAATAATTTAGGTACATTTTAAAGAAATAGGAGAAACCATGGCCCTCCAAATTCCTCGCTCCCTTCGCCCTGATTGAAACGTCTTGAAAATTAGAAAACAAAACTTTAAAAGTTGGAGCAAGTAAAAAAATATGAGCACATTATTTAAAGCATAAAGCTTATAATGTGTTTTTTTAGATTGGTTATAAATCTTAATACAACTAATTTGGTGTAAAAAAAATACAGCTAATTTATAAATTCTTATTAAGAATTTCGGCGTCAACATTATAGTTTATTTTGCGCAAATAATTGATTTATTTTAGATTGACGATTTGCCCAACTAATCTAAAATGTCTTGTGTAACAAATTTCAAAAGTTGCAAGAGATGAAGAGAGTCACGTGCATAAAGGTTTGGTTCGAAAGAAATTATAAATAATTTATTTATATTTATCTTATTTTATAAATACTTATAAAAGTGTTTGGACAAATTTATAAATTATCATATGAATAATTCATAATTTAAATAAGTTGTCAAGTATAACTTATTATTTAGTTTATGCACAGGAGTGGAGGGAGCATAATAACTAGTAAATATTACCCCAAAAAAAAAAAAAAAGTAAATAGTAAGTGTTTAAACTTTGAAAGGAGAAACCAATTAATTTAGGTGAATGAAAACAGTTGACTTTATTGACTACGTAGGGTCTCAATTGTCATAAAATTAGATAAGAAAAGGTGCGAGGAAAGAAAAAAAAAGAAAAAAAAAAAGAAGGTGAATGTTAAGTTGGATGTTATTCTGAGTAGCTAGCACTAGGAAAATGGGAATGAGAAGCCGATGATGATGATGTTATGGGTAGAATCAGAGCTTCGTGTTGTGCATTGGCGACGCGTCGCATGGTTTCTTGGGTGACGCCAAACGCAGCCGCAAGCTCGGGCCCCAGCATGGTCCTCATCAGTGACGTGGCACCCACAAGAAACTGTGGCCTGTTCCTCTGAGCCGAGGTGGTGAAGCCGAAGAACTCTAGTGGTTGACCCCTTGATGCCATTTGGCAGAACGCAAAGTACCTTGGAATGAAGAACACGTCCCCTTCTTTTATCTCTGCGTCCATTGCATTGCTTCCGTTTGGAAACACTATTTGGATTCTCCCTGTCCCTTTTAGCACTATGCCGTACTCTGTTGCCCTTGGATTCATATGGGGTGCCATCATTGATCCCTGCCATATACCACCATGACACATAAATTTCATTCTTTCATTTTGGTGCTAAATAAATCCAAATATTGATTGCATACCGCTGAGAGATTCACATGGTAAAGCCCAACGCCAGACCTTTTGAGTGGAAAATAATGAGAGCCATCAATAGCAACGCTCCAGCCATACCTGTTTTCGAAATCTGGCTTTCGCTCATACAGGTTGCAAGAGCGAGGGGGTCTTCTAGTACCCTTCTCCCTCCTCACCGCCTCATCTCCAAATACAGTTTCCAACAGCTTCCTCCATGACCATCTTGTTTGTTGCTCTTCTTCTTCACCAGATTCTTCCTCTTCCTCCACTTCGTCTTCCTCTTCTTCTTCTTGCATCATCTCCCTCATGTGCTCAAGTTTATCTTCCTCTTTAAGTTCAAGGAACTTGGTCCATATGCTTGTGGCATGTGAATCGCCCACATGCACAATTGGGCCCTCGTATTGCCTAGTGAAGAGTTTTCTCAACTCTGCTCCTGATGCCTGCAGCGTCAGTTTATAAAAGACTCTTGTTAAGTTTTATTAAAAGCGAAAAATCTTACTCAATCCTATAAAACTATGGTGTGTAATGTAAAAATTGTTATCCACTTGTATTTGAACCATATTTCTTATGGTTATAAAATCTTCAACATTAGTATTGTGTGTGCAGGTTTGGTGATTTGGTTCTCCAAACTGTTATACAATTAACAAAGTTATTAGCTTACGTTAAAAGCAGCTTCAAGGATTTCAGGCTCGAATCCAGAAAGGACTGAGGCTGGATGGGCTCCTCCTCCAATATAGAAGGACTGCAACACAGCACAAGATATTAACATTAAGAATTAATATCTAGCAAGATTTGTCAAAGTCAAATGAGTGGCATATTTTTTTTTTTCCTTCAAAGTTATATAAAACACTAGAGAGTTATTGATTATTACGGATGTACCTGGAAAATATCAACTCCTAAGCTCTCAGAGGGGTCAATGCTACAGATAATGTCAAGCTTTTGATCCTCCATGTTCACCAGATAGAATGCAGAACCTGCTGGAATTTGATATACATCTCCCATCTTCAAATGCCTTTCTGCCAACCTGTCTCTGTATATGAATCCCACCTTTGCTTCCCCTGGAACCAATGTTCAAGTTAACTCCCAAATTCTCAAATTTCCAACAAACTTCTCTCGGGTTTATAAATGGAACACAACAAATTAATGGGCTCTATATATTGTTTGTTGCATCTTAAAATTAGCAGAGAACAAGACATGAAAAGCGGTACAATGTCAACACAATAGTTTCATTCCTTTTGTGCATGCATGCATGCCACAAAAGTTAATTACCTACATACGTAAAATGCATGCGTGGATGTATATATAACGATAGATATATACCTGAACGCAGGAATATGATCATAGTGGAGTCGAGGTACTGAGGAACGAAGAGGGACCTTGGTTCCATAGTGATGAAACCAATGTGCAAGCTTCTCTCCGAAACCCTACCACCATAGCTTTCGAGCACTCTCATCTCCCCAGCGTCAGTTTTGGCAACGCGCTTGGATTTGAGCATCAAGAACAATTTGTCTGGATCTTCTCTCTCTTCCACCTCTTTCCTCCAGAACCGCCCCATTGTCACTGACAAGCTATGACAAAGAACGAGGAACAAGATCAAGAGGCTCACTCTGCTTCCCATAATGTAATAACCTCACTCACTGGTCTTGGCTGTTTCTTTTGATTGCTTCACGAGGAGCATTTATAAAGAGGGAGAAGGCACACGCCACGTGTCAGCCATGTAGGAACTCAAGGAGCTTGTTGACCATGTATTAATTGTTGGTATATGAATAGACAACATGTTTCAGTTGAGAGAAAATTTCGATAACAAATAGACAAAGTCTATGCTAGAAAACTTCTACTTTGTGTCGCTTTTTACAACTACTCTTTTGTGCAACATTTCCCTTTATTTCATGTGTGTTAAGATTTATAAAACGATTGAATAATGATGTAACTCTAGCCGGAAATTAATGTCAAATTTTAATGATAATGTTATATTTTAATTTCGACTCCATTCTTTTAATAGATATTAGATTAAATAGGTCTCCTTATATAGCAAAATCTTTTAGCTTTCAAGAATGGAAGACAGAAGCCAGATTTTCAATTGGTTTATGTATATATATACGAGAATATCTCCTGTTTTAGTTCTTATATATATAAAAAAAATTATTGGTTCCAAAATTTAAAAATAACATATTGGACGTTATCTTCTGTATATTTCATGAAATCATACCACTTATATATATTATGCCAATTAATTAAATGAGACCTCATATGCATATATAAATCTTCTCCCCCTTCTTAAAAAAAGCCTTCACCCTAAAATCCTAATTTCCCACTTTAGAATTGAATTTTCATCCTCAATCTTGAATCCAATCTCCAACAAAATAGTTTACAATTAAAATATCAAGACTTAAACTATCAATTGATCAGATAGATAATCAAAAAATTTAACTGTGTTCACGGTGACATTAATGTAACAAGATTGTAAAGAACAATATTATAATTTATACATATATAACATATCAAAATGGTTAATAAAGTTTGTTAACATTCATTCACACACTTTTTTCTTCTTTCAATTTTTAAATGCTACCAAAATAGGTGAGGTGAAGAAAAAATAAGGGAGTACATGTAAAAATTGAAAAAAGAAAGAAAGATATGTTAAAAAAAAGTACTAAATCAAATGTTGTGGATGTAAAAATAAAAAATTTAAAACAAAAAATTAAGAAAATTTTAATTATTTTTTTTAAAGGAGGTGTACTTATAAAAAAAAAGGAGGTGTATATATCATTAACCTCTTGGTTCTGTTCTGGAGAACCTTGTTTTGTTATAAATTTTTTTCTCAAATGCATGTGGGCATCCATAGACTGTGTTAGCTCCAGTTATTTATTTATTTATTTTATATAATTTATAAATTCTTTTAAATTAAAATTAGAAGAATAGAAAAACTTTAAAATTAAGGTAAAGCTACATTTTTCAGTGTTTAAGTTACTTTTATGGACCATAAATATTAACGAAAATGTGGATCCTTTGTTGGAG